CCCCCCCCCCCTTCAGATTATGTGTGAATATTTGATGTAGATTGCTTTTCATATGTGTGAAACCAAAAAAAATAAACCAGCATAAGGCTCAAGGCTGTTTTTTTTGCAGACAGAAAGAATTCTGCCCCATGGGTCAAACCAACTCCGGAGGGAAAAATATGAAACCAATTCTTTCTGCGCATGTAACTATAAAGATGATTGCCTTGAAAAAACTCTGCCTTTGTTCATTTAGTTTTGTGGTTATTTTAGAGTTTCCTGAGAGTGAAGTAATGTTCCACAGACTTGTTCCCCATCTCTCGGGTAGAAACACACACAAGCTCCCAAAGCTCATTTTCCCTCCTGCTATTGAACAGAGAAGAAGAGAAGAGATGACACAGAAATATCGCCCCTCCTCCTGAGGGAATCCAGCACAGAGCCAGATCCTGGATGAATCTCGGAAAACTCTTGTCTGGAATTACACAGCACCCTAAATGTATCCACCAGCACGTTTACTTATTCCTCTGTGCTTTACATGTTCACTTTCTCCACAAGCTTTATAACGTCTCTGTCATAAAGCGGTGATGAGCTGTTGAGTTGTCCAGTCTGTTGAGGTTTTTTTTCTGTGCTGTGTGGGATGTACAGCTCCTTATCTGTCAGCCCTGAAGCTGGTTTAAGGTCAGCCTTTAATTACTTCTCATCCTGTCCATCACTGGCACTGAGACTCCCTTCATCCTGCCAGAGGCTTGGGGCAGCCATCAGTTCTGTTCTTTAAAAAGCACAAGAGATTTTTTTAAAATTACCTCTATGTAGGACACTCGACTTTGTGCTGTGTGGACAAAGTCTACGCAGCAGATGTTCTGTTACCATTTTCTCCTTCCCGACACTGATTCTGATATCTGAACTTCGACCAGTATTGAATTGACTGAGGTTTTATTTGGGTGTGAAACTACCTTAAAGTTTATTAATACATTTCGTGGCATCAGATCGGTGCATAAACTGTGTATGTGCCGATTCCCGATCCAGCATTTTAGGAAGTATTGGAGGCATTTCTGATACTGGAATCGGTATCGGAACAACTCTCATTACTTTTCTGGGCAGCAGATAGCTCAGGTTTAGTAATTCAGGGCAGTTCAGAAAGCGTCAGGTGACACGCCAAGCACAGAAAAAGTAGGCCTGTGCTAAAATAGTCCTTTTCTGTGGCACTCTGGCACTCACATTGTCCTGTGTGGCAGATCATTTCCATCTGGTGCTCCCAGCAGGCCAAAACAAACGCTAAGAAATTATTTTCAGAGGCCATCTGAGCAAAATCTGGGGTTGGGAGTTGCACATGTGCAGAGAGCGTTTCTGTGACATGTGGTGCTGTTAATGTGCTTTCATGTGCAAATAATGTGTGACACTTCGCTAATGGTCGGTGATGGTGAGATGGTATGAATGAGAAAAGCTGGAAGTGTAAACTGTTTGATGTGTTTCTTTACAGACTGATCCTGTTATCCAACGGCACTCTGCTGATCACCCAGGTCAAGCCCAGGAGCACGGGGACCTATAAGTGTGTTGGCCGTGGCCTCAGAGGGTCCCATGTCACACTGGAGGCGTCTCTCCTCATAGCTGGTACACACACGCACACATTAATTTGCAGTTGTTGGAGTGATGAGGGATAAACACCTGTGATCTGTAATCTGAGAGTGAGAGGAGCATTTGGGTTACATATTTATCCCTCCCTCTATCTCATTCTGCTCTCCCCTCCCTCCTTCTTCTTCTGGCTCTTTCACTTAGAGCCAGATCTCTCCAATGATAATCACATTCCCTTATTGACATCCGGCCCAGCTGTATCCACTACATGCGCAGCAATTGAGCATTTTCCTGCTTCCCCTCCATATTATTTCCTCCAACAGTCCAGCTGTTTGCCAAGCTTGTTTATCTCAAGAAGTGTTCTCCAAAGTGTAACAGCACCTGGCTGAGCGAGCAGCATAAGTAACATTAGATAACACACCAGTATGACTCAAACTGGTTAACAAGCAGTGTAATTATGAGCTTGTGAAATGTCATTAGACAGTCCCCTGTGATTTTCATCCAACATCAGTAGAGATTTACTGGGAAGAAACGACTTCCAAATGGTGTGTTAAACCACTTTAAAATGAAAGAAAAACATCAGAACTGTAACAAATAAAACTTTGAGCATAAAGGGTGGGTTCTCATACATGCAGGAAAAACAATGTAATACACAAGTCCAGACACATCAAAGCTGTTTTATTGCTTATAAGAGCGCCTGCTCTTTTCCCTTCTAACCACGACTCCAAGGAGAACTCCTTAAAATGTTTTAAATGGCTGCTTGAGCTTAAAGCAGGAACAATCTGTTGTATCATCTCATTCTGCTAATCAGCCAGCATTTTGAAATGCAAGTGCATGCAAGTCAAATATTTTGTATAAGCTTAGGGCTGGAATTTCTATGCGTTTCAGAGTCCTGAACACTTTATTCCTCTCAAGCAGCCCCCTTTTCCCCAAGGGTTTTGGATTAGCGAGGTACGACTGTATCTGCAGTTTTAACCCAGTGAACCAACGCTCCATTTAAATACCTTAATTCACTTAATCTGATTGTAATCCTCGCAGGCATTATAAGGGATTGTGTCACAGTAGAATTCAGTATTTAGGGACAAGTTTAAACAGTCACTCCATCGTAGCTCCACCTTATTCACTTCACTGCCCTCCCTTCCTTCTCCCAGCTCCACTTTCCTTTCATCTGCTGAGAAATGTGTGTTTTCTGTTCTCATTAATTGATTTAGATCTTAGACTCGTAGAAGGTCGCAGCCACTGACCAGCTTTTAGACTGTTGTCGGCCAATAAAGTATTAATGACTTCCATTTGGGACACACACACAGTAATAAACCACACAGTAGTGGGAGGTCTTGTGAGTCTTTGTAGCACAGATCACATTCCACTTTCTGTATAGGAGCTGCCAGTTTTGATATGACCCACCTCACACAGGCCCTGGCTAATTCCCATACAACCTATATACTCAATTCACCTACTGTGCGCTTTGTTCTCTAATTACTGTGACCTGCGCTACAAATCAGAGGACTTTTCCCTAACAAGACAGGAAATCTGCTAACAGGGCTGTGCATTGGAATTAAGTGCGCTTAGGGCTGCTCATGAAATTCAAAATCAGTAATGCTTCACTGGCTTTGAAGACAGCTTGATGATTATCAAGGGCCTTGAGTAAACGGAAATCAATTTCATCATTCTAATCGCTGCTTCATGCTGAAAATTCTCTCACACTCTTCTGCTTTTCACCACAGAGATAGAAGACATGGTGCCCAAGATGTCGAAGGTTTTCACGGCGGACACCCTGCAGCGGGTGGCCTGTCGCCCACCGCGCGGCAGACCTGAGCCCGAGGTGTGGTGGGAGAGAGAAGGTCAGCGGGTGCCCACAGAGGGCAGAGTGTACCAGGACGGCCTGGATTTGGTCTTCAGTCCCACAGAGGAGGGAGACTCAGGCATCTACACCTGTGTGGCCCAGAACAGGGCAGGACGCAAGACACAGGAGGTCACCTTCACCGTGGCCAGTGAGTCATACAGACAGCTTTAAAGGGACACTTCACCACCACCTTCACATATGAAAGATGATGAAACAGCAGTTTGGGAGTATCTAGCTTCACTATGTTGGTGTTTTTCGAATGAAACAAGATAGGCAGGTGGGATGTAACGTTGGGAGGAATTTAATTTGGTTGTTGAAAAGTGGGCCTGTCGTAGTAGACATGGACAGGCCCCGACAGTGCACACCGACTGTTAAGTGGTATCTATAAGAGGGAGGGAGAGGCGAAGCCCACCGCATGCTCCATGTAACGTTAGCTGCTGAAGCAATCTAATGTAAAATGCCTTGTGCATAATCTAGAGCTGTCACTCATACCACTTTCCTCAAGGTGAATACATTCTAGCCAGTGGACCTGTAACCACAATATTTTGGGGAAACAAAATTTTGCTAGCTAGCTACCTTAATCCATGCTCTGTGCTAGTAAAAGTTGCAGGTTGACTGATAGGTAGAATTTGAAATTGAAATTGGTTGGTTCGAGCTTACGTAAGCACATGTCATATTTTGTTTTACAGAAAGAAAACACAATTGGATTTTGATAGAAGAATATGAAAAAATATGTATCTATCTTTCGGAATTTATTGTTAAAGGTATACTATGCAGGATAGTTGGTTACCGTTTGTAAACATGCTCGCAAAAAAAATGAAAGTAATAGCCAACACGAGATTCATTCACATTCAGCGTTTCGCCTTGCTATGTTTGCACTTTTCCGGCACTTTGTCTCTTGGATACCTACTGCTTACAGTCTGGCACCTGGTTACTACCTTTTTACAAAACCATGACCTCACCTGAGCACTGTGGGGGTTCACACTCAAATATGTCCCCAACACAGAAAATAAGAAGATGATAAGAAAATACAGGCAGAGGGCAGAGTCTCTGTAGATAAATACACAGCCATACACTTCTAGTGGGTCATAAGTGATGACTGAGAGGAATTACCCTGCACAGTCTACCTTTATATATGTGCAAAATATGACCAGAGGTGTGATCTAAAGAGGAATTTAAAGGATTTTTTAATTTAATTTTAAAGTTCAGTTTACCCGTCACAAAAAGTAAAACCTCTGTGTTGTGAAAACTGTCTTATAATGTCAAGACAGTTTTAAAAAAGAAAAAAATAACCCCTGACTTGGGCTTGATTTAAGAAAATACTTAACAGAAAGCCTGCGTTAGAGTGGGTAGGGTGCAGACAGTAAGTCATGTTCTTAAACGTCGGACGCATGCTGGGAACACTGGGACCATCCACCAGATACATAGGGATTAATAATGGTGTTAGACTGAGCAATGGGCCAAGCTCATTTACACCTTGTGTATTCCTTTAAGGTACTAAAATGTCTGTGCTTATACTAACATTTTCTGTGTGTGTGTGTGTGTGTGTGTGTGTGTGTGTGTGTGTCCGTCCACAGCTGCCCCAGTGTGGGTGATGAGGCCTCAGGACAGCCTCCTAGAGGAGGGTAAACCAGGTTACCTTCACTGTCATGCTCAGGCCAACCCTGAACCTGAGGTCACCTGGCTCCGCAACAACATCATGATCACACCAGAGGTCAGTTATCAGACACAATAACACACACACTCACATTTTTTGACAAGCATTCTGTCTACACCCAGCAGAAGAAAATTAAAACTTAAAAAATCTTCCTCCCTTTTTTCTACAGGACTCTCGTTTTAAGCTGTTCCCTAATGGCACCCTCAGAATCAACAATGTGGAGGTGTACGACGGACAGATGTACGGCTGTGAAACCAAGACTGTAGGCGGCCGGCTGTCTGGGCAAGCTAGAGTTACTGTGCTTGGTAAGCTGCAAGAGAATCACTCAGTTCAATACTGAACGGTTCAATATATACAGTAGATTATACTTTGAGTGTATACTCAGTGTGTGTTTAAAGTTATTTCCCAGACTGACTGAAAGATAATGAGTAATGAGTGAAATCATATCCAGGGTGTAATGAGTAATACAGCGTTGAGAGAAAATATGAAACAAATATGGTCATGCCTGTGGGCGTGTGAGTGTGAAAGTGTGTGTTTCTTAAAATAGGATAAGCATGTCTATGTTGTGTCTCTGGGCGTCCTGCAGGACACCCACAGAGGTGTAAAATATGACTCATACATGGCAGCTTTATTCTAGCCTCCATTTTAACACATTATCTCCATGATGAATTCCTATCAGCGTAGCTCTGCCGCTATAGGATTACCATGATAGATGGCCTGACATGATGCTGTTTTGTCTATCCATTCTCTCTGTTTATATGATCTCATCCTCTGATAGACCTCAGGTTTTATACTTCCCAGATCTGCGTGCACATGTAGCCACATCGCCCTGAATGTGTCTGAACATGATTTGCGTCAGCTTAGTGTCATTTCATCTGCAGTGGGAGTTGCACAGGAGAGGCTTTGACGTGTTTACAGCACGTGTAATGTGTGTGTGGTGTTTTGACTTGTGTTTCAGAGAAGCTGAAGTTTACTCCGACCCCCCAGCCATCGCAGTGTCTGGAGCTGGATAACGAGATCACCATCCAGTGCTCAGCTAAAGGCAGAGAGAGCCCCACCATCCGCTGGACCAAAGCAGGTGTGCACAGCGCTAGCTTAACCTTAGCTTGCAATAGCATAAAGGGACAGTGTACCCCAAACTCAATCATACATTTTTGTTCTTACAAGTAGTGCTATTAATCAGTCTATATTGTTAAGGTGTGAGTTGCAGAGTGCTGAAGAAGGAACTATTTTCTCTCTACCAAATTACACTTTATCACCCTGCAGAAGGAGGCGTGCATCTACTAATGGACAAAAAGGCTTGTGCTCTTGAAAGTATGACATTCGGCTGACCTGTAGAGTCAGCTAGCTCAGTGGTGCTAGGTGAGCTAGCAGTGGATGCCCACTTCTGTATGAACTGTGATACAGTTAGGAGGTGTATTTGGGTCAGAAGATAAATAGTTATTACATGAAACTACTCACAACAAGGTTTGTGGATTATCTTGAGTAACAGTGTCATGATTTCTGGAAAGAGACATTGCTGTTGAGCTTTTCAGATGTACATTTTTGGCGCTTTGAGCACCACAGCCTAGTGCCATCTAGTTCCATTATATTGGAGAAAAGGCAGACACTTCAACAGCCGATATCTCCAACACTCAGCAGCTCACACCAAAACAATCTAGATAGATAAATAGCACTTTAAGAGAAAAGAAATGTACTTTTGATTTTGGGGTGAATTGTGCCTTTAGTTCAGATGAGGAATGACTGTTCAACACTTTTTTAAAGGAAATATCTCATCAAAAACGCGGCAGTACGCTTCATTCCTTTTATGCTGATGATGACAAATGCCATCTCCACAAGAATGTGTGGAAACGTGCAGAATCTGCAATAAACAGAGTGTGAGGAAGGTCCATCATCACGGATCATTTCCCCCATTCATCTGCGTTTGCCACGATGGAGTCAATTTAACCACTGGAGCTCCACACGCAGCCCCAGACTCAGCCCTCCTAATCCCCCTGGTCTCTGTGTGTCTCTCTGTCTCCCCCTGCAGACGGAGGAGAGCTGCCGCCTCGGGTGGAGCGGAGGAACGGCCAGCTCCACTTCACCAAAGTCACCCGCAGCGATGCCGGCAACTACACCTGCATCGCCTCCAACAGCCTCCAGGGGGAGATCAGAGCCCTGGTGACCCTCATTGTGGCTGGTAAACCACCTCACTCATCATTCTGAGAGCAGTGAATTGCCAAAGAAAGGGCCACGCTGCCATATTAGTCACCAGTCCCACATCCAAAGGACTTGTGGTCTCAGTCATTGATCATTCCCATCAAGTGCCAAACACAGCAGCATTTACTGTGCACTTGGTGGCCTCTTTATTGCCCACTAATGAATTGCATTTGAGTCTTGGTGTGTAACTGAGATGTTAACCACAGTCACCACAGTCTGCAAAGGAAATGTTATGGCCCAGTTGTGGTTTAAGTGTTGTATTAATGAGCATGTGTGTTTGTCCATGCCTGTTTGTGCACATGTAGTGTACATTCGCTTTAAGGTGGAACCAGAGAATACAACGGTGTACCAAGGTCACACGGCTACCCTGCACTGTCAGGCCACCGGCGACCCTGAGCCTCACATCCACTGGATGGTCAAAGACAAGACGCTGGACATCAGTAAGAACAGAAGGTAAATGAGACACCTGTGTGACTTTTAATCAGTCTTTAGACAGTTCTACTGGTTCCAAACTGGACTGACTGCAGTTTAATTTCTGTGTGTCCAATATAGATTTAGCATGTGCTAATATAGTGTTACACACCTGAATATAATGGCCCTCATTCAAGATAGTCTCTCACAAACAGATTTGTTCTGAGTGGCACATCAGAGTGATTAAAGGAGTATGCCACATTCACTTATATTCTTGGACTCAATGAACTGATGAGAATTTGGTGGTCAAGGTCACTGTGACCTCACAAAACATGTATTTAGCCATAATTCTGGAATTCATACGCTAATTATGACAAAACCTTCACACAAATACAATGGAATAAATAGAAAAGAATAAAATGATGAAGTGATGTCATTTTATATCCAAAGAGCCAAGGTCAACTCCACTGTGACATCATAATCATCATCTCTGGCTATTATTAAACTCAGGAACAGAAGTGGAGACACATGGTTGGATACTGAATTGATGACTCTAATCTTGCGTGCCCACCTTGAAACTGTGCTGAATGTATAGGTCTTCTGTGCTGCCGGCTTGAAGATATGCATGAAGCATCCATGTTTTACAGTTTGCTGCTTCTTTGCTCCAACATCCTTATTTAAAATAGTCAACTCTCAGGGCACATGTGAGTCTGGACAGACATTGATGCAAAGTGTAGCTGCAGCTTCACTGCTTGGTGGAGGCCTACAACCGCAAGGTGGTAAATCTAGTTTGTGAATGAAGCTTACACACAGAGTGGAACAGGCGGCCTTTTTGCAGCACTTTTAGGGGTGTTAATTATGCTAATGATCAAATCTAACACACAGCCACCTGCTCATGAACAGATTCAAACAGGCATTGTATGACAAGTGTGTGCAGTTAAGAGGGCATGCTGCCTTCAACTTGAGACACTTGTACAAGTGAACCTCAGACGAAACTAAAAGGGATTTAGGATAAGATAAGGGCAACATTCTTGAGGCTGTTGTGTAGGTGTAGTGGACCTCTAGACCTCCCCTTCATCTCTTTGTCCTTTCTTTCCTTCAGGTTCCAGAAGATGCCCAATGGCTCCTTGGTGATTACAGATGTTACTACAGATGACACAGGCAGATACACATGTGTGGCAGGAAACAGCTGCAGCATCAAAGACCGTGTGGCTCAGCTGTATGTAGTAGGTGAGTTTCACACACACACACACACACACACACACACACACGGACACACACACGGACACACAAACATACATACACACCGGCTACCTTTACCAGGAATAAAGGTGCACACATGGGGGCGTGCGCCACCATCACAAGTGAAGGATGAAGGCATTAATTAAACCTTCACCCGCTGCCTGTCATCCATCTCGACAGGTTAATAACCACAGCCACATCTCTGACGCCATGCCTGTCACTGAGGTGATGGGATTGGGCAGACAGTAGATCTAATAATGCCTCACACTCTGGGGCTCCTTGTGTGCTGACTGAAGCTGAAAATTACAGTCACACACTTGCATTAGTGTCCCATATCAACTCATTTTCTCCCAAATCAACAGGATGGTATTCTGGATTAGTTCAAAGTAGGAGACATGGTTTTAGATGTTTGCTGTAGCTTGTCAGGGTCAGCGTGACAGCACTGCCCTAGGAAGCCAGACTGGTAACTGAGTTAGCAGGACAACTCATAAAAATACTTGTTGAATGAAGTGACTGTGTGTTAGAATTCAATGCAAGTACCCTTAATCTATGAAACGGATAAGGGCTTCCTTGTGTAGGGCAAGTTGTGTAAGTTGTGTGACAGCTTTTTTAACAGTTGTTGTATGGAATTAACTTTGCAAATCATAACTGTATTCGATCTGTTATCAGTTAAATGTAACTTTGCATACCCTTTATGATGCTAAAACAAAATTTGCTGAACAATGTAACACAGCAGATGATGTTGTTTAAAGACTTTTTCAGAGCATTTTTAGTTGACCATAATTTCCGCCTGTGCCCAACAGACAAACCAGTGCATTCCTTCGACGAAGACGGGGACAAGGCTCCCTACAAGATGATCCAAACCATCGGTCTGTCAGTGGGAGCAGCCGTGGCTTACATCATCGTCGTGCTGGGACTCATGTTCTACTGCAAAAAGAGACGCAACGCCAAAAGACTGCAGAAAGGCCAGGACGGAGAGGAGCCGGAGATGGAGTGTCTCAACGGTATGAATGTTTGGTGGAGGAGAATGTCTATAAAGTTGTGGTTTGGTGGTTGCAAAATCAGCCAGGAGGATATGTGAGCGGTTGACATTCCCTCAACCTTGTGGTCCTTAAAGTGGTGTTGAAAGGTTTAAGATATTTGCTGCCATCTTGTGTTCATCCTGTGTATTGCATTTATCATCAGACTGTTTGATGAGACATTAGTTCCACAGTAAACACTAGCTCTGGGCAGACTGTAAGCGTGTTAACACTGGAAAAGAGGCATGATTAAATATTCTCAAAACTGTGAATACGCACACAAAGAAACTTCAATTTCTGAGTGCGTTGTTGTACAGAGGAAAATGGAGGAGCTGCTCAAAGCTGAAAAAAAAAACCTATCGATGTTTATCGACGTGGTCTTTGTTAACCATCCGCATTTGGCTGAGCAGAGCAACTCATTTTGTTTTCACAAGACAATGTTGAATACATTTCACTCTATGTGGACACACATCACATTTGCAGTGCTTTTTAATGTCTATTGAGATTTACATTATGTCTGCGACCTTTGAGCCTGTTGGATGTGTGTTGTCTTCAACAGGAGGGGCTGTTCAACAAAATGGCCACACTACCACTGAGATCCAGGAAGAGGTGGCACTCACCAACATGGGTACCATGGCAACAACAGAAAAACGCCACAGCCATGTCAACAACGATAAGCTCCACTTTCCTCGAGCAAACCTACAAACCATCACTACTTTAGGTAGGCTGATTTATACAGTTGTCTTTTGCATGTACTGACAGAGAATGACTCTCCTTGTACTCTAATTTAACAGAAGGTCACCTGATCCTTTAGCTGTACCACGCTGTAGATGTGCGACATTGATTTTCAAACATGTGCTCTGATATTTGCTCTGTGGTGTGAATGTTTACTCAGGCAAAGGGGAGTTTGGTGAGGTGCTGCTATGCAAAGCTAAGGGTATCGAGGAGAGCGAGGAGGAGACGGTGGTGTTGGTGAAAAGCCTGCAGACCAGAGACGAACAGCTCCAGCTCGACTTCCGCCGCGAGGCTGAAATGTTCGCCAAGCTCAGCCACCCCAATGTTGTCCGCTTGTTGGGCCTGTGTAGGGAGGCAGAGCCCCACTACACGATCCTAGAGTACTATGACCTGGTAAGCACACAGGGAAAGAAGCTCACACTGACAAACACATATGATTTTAAATGATTTGACCAGATATAATACTATAATCTTTTTTGCTTTTTTGATACCAGGGAGACCTGAAGCAGTTCCTGAGAATTTCCAAAAGCAAAGATGACAAGGTCAAATCTCAGCCTATCAGCACCAAGACCAAAGTAAGTGTTGCATCCTGCACACTGTCTACCATGCAGGTTCCCCAGGGTCCTTAAAATCCTTGAAAGATTGTGAATTTGAGAGAAAAAAACAGAAAACATATAAATAGACATAGGTCTAACTGAAAGTGCTTGATTTCATGTATTTTGTACAATAGTAGAAATTCCCGGTCTCAATCACTCACCTTGCACAATATATTGTTATGCTGTGCTGTTTTGGAGAAGGTAAGAGACCTCATGGTCTGCCATCACTGTAACACAGCACAATTGAGAAGTATTCACAAATCAGTGCTTGATTTGGACGTCAGTATTTGTTCATTGTGTAGAGTGATCACTTTTTGTGCATTGTAAAAAAACACACATTTAAAGTTTACATTTTGGGCTGGGACTCAGTGATGTAACTGCTGTCTATAAATATCTGCACAGATCCATATAGCAAAAATAGAACAGCGCGGCTGCAGATAACATTCATTTTACATCAGCTCCATGTTATGTAGGCTAATTTCTACAACCTGGGGGAAGCATTGAAAGGTAGACTAACCCTAACTCATGTCGCATTTTCAGTTGGATGTTCATTTGAGACCCGATTTTTACATTAGATTTTTTTTTGCGCATACTCTAATAATATAATTTAAGTAAATATGGAAAATACTTAAAGTGTGCCTCCCTAGTTCACATATTTGAGCCTCTCTCTTTTTATTGTTTTCTGTGAGCTTCTGTAAAGCTTGCTAGTTGTCATTATAAAAATTCTCAGTGTTGTAACAGTATTGAACCTTGATTCATGTCTCAAACTACGCTGTGTTGGGTCCTTGAATTTGAGGGTATTGGGCCTGGAAAGTCCAACCGACACCTCTGAAGCTCATTAACTAACACATTATGTCTTTGTTTAATCTGTACAAAAGCTGAAGTGTAGAGATTGGAAGTCATGGTTTTATGTCATAGTTCTGTGCCGGACTGGAGGCTTTCTTTCCTGGTACAACCAAGGAAAACCTTGGTAATTGCTGCTGTCATTCTGATGTATTCTCAGTCACTTTACCTTGACAGTTTTTTGTTCTGTGTTTTCAGGTTTCCATCTGCACCCAGGTGGCTCATGGGATGGAGCATCTTTCCAATCACCGCTTCGTTCACAAAGACCTCGCTGCCCGAAACTGCCTGATCAACAGTCAGAGGCGTGTGAAAGTGTCAGCGCTCAGCCTCAGCAAGGACGTCTACAACAGGTCTGCTAGAAACAGAGCTTGATTTAACCATAATCACCCACTTAAATCATCAACTGCAATAAACGGCGTGATTAAAATTCCTAGACATCTCCATTCACCCGGCTAATTTTAGCTGTTTTCCTCTCCTTTTCATTCCCCTTATGTAAACGTTTGTAGTGAGTACTACCACTACAGGCAGGCATGGATCCCGCTGCGCTGGCTCCCAGCTGAGTCTGTGTTTGAGGACGACTTCTCAACCAAGTCTGACGTGTGGGCCTTTGGAGTGTTGATGTGGGAAGTGTTCAGTCACGGGGAAATGCCATATACCAAACTCAGTGATGATGAGGTGCTGGAAGGTCAGTATGATGCTTTAGCTACTTGTTTTTAGTCCAAGTTCTGATTCAGCTCACAAAAAAAGATGACAAGCTTTTTAAGAAGAAAGAGGCCCCTGTTCAACATTACTTTTGGTTGAACGGTCAGGTAAATGTGGATTAGACAGGTGGTATGTAATCATCCTTTAAATGATTGAATAAAACAGCAACCTGTGTCCATGTTTTCGATTTGGTTTAACCTCCCTCTCTCTGCTGCTCCTCCGCCCCTCCAGGTCTGCAGACAGGGAAGCTGAAGCTGCCCGTTCCAGACGGATGCCCCTCCAAAATCTACAAGCTCATGACCCGCTGCTGGGCACTGAGCCTCAAAGAGCGCCCCTCTTTCACTGAAATCGTCCACACCCTGGGAGAGCTGCCCTCTGACAGCAAAGTCTGAGACGACCGTAACCCCACATCAGAGGGGAACTTTGACCAACCCCCCTTCCCCCAAAAATAAAGACAGGAATGCTGGATTATTAGTCTCACACATTTCAGGGAAGAGGGTTGAGGAGAAAAACACTTTTGTATATGCATTTCAAACAGCGGGTGTGTGTGGATCAGACTTCTTTGCTATATCAATGGAAACGCACTCACGTTTGTGTGAATGGCTTCTTGTGAGCAGTGCCAGGAGTTTATGTTTGCCTTAACCGCAGCATGGATGACCCTCCCGTCAACTTCCTGTCTGTGGTTCCACTGTGACCCTGCCTGCCCGTCTGCGGCCGCTCTGTCCCAGAGACACTTTGCTTCACGGAGCCTCACAACCTCAGTGCCTCTACCCCTCCACACCCACACTCACCCAGACCTTTGACTGCCCTGTAGTACGTTACGGTGCTCTCACTGGCTCAGATCAATAGAGATGATTGGTCTGAAGCTTAGGAAGAAACCCCCCCCCCGGAATTTTAGGTTCACTGCTCCGTCAAGTCAGAAAGAATATTGAAGGGAAGGGAATGTGGGATATAATGTCAGCGGAGCACTGAAGCTTCAGCCACTTCGGAGTGTGTTGAGTGATATCGTTTCAACTGGTCTGCTTGAACTTAAAATCCAGTCAGCTGCATCCTGAGGCCACCACCCTAATCTAAGAGGAGACACTACTCTGTCCACCAGGTACACACCACCATCCTCCAAAGAGTGTGTGTGCCACTGAACTGTTCCCACGCTACAGCTTACGTTTCGAAGAAGAAGTGGAATGGGGTTTGCATGAAGGTTCGTCCTCTGTTACGCTTGTGATTTGCAACATGAGGAAACTTGTGGAAAAAGTAATCCGTGTTATGATAACACTTCAGGAACATAAAAAAAAAAAAAGAAGATCATGTTTATCGCCAAGGATTATATTGAATAGATGAGATTGTGCCAGTGTGGGCTTTGTACGTTTTTATGAGTGTGTTCTGTTCTTGTATTAACTTTGAGGTGCTTATTTGTCACGAGCTATGGGTGACAACACCCATTGTACCACATTATCATGTTGCAGGCATGCAGCCTATCACTGTGTTCAACCCGCGACATCATTTCTTCAGAGGTCCAATCACAGTTTCCCTTCGGGTCCAGATGTTTTGTGCAATGCTGCAGAGTGGACCATCACACCAGGCAATGTGTACATAATGTAGAAGCCATGCACTAACTTCACTTAAAAGAATATCCCTCTTTATCTCTATCATGTTGTGTAGTAGGACATGCAGGTGCCTGTTTATTTATGATGAAGGTCCTGTCTTTTTTTAACTATGTTTATAATAGAAAGGTACTTCTCTGATGCGATGTATTCATTCTCACGGTCCATCTCAACGTGCGTTCAGTCTGGTAAGCAGCTGGATACGCTAACACAAAGTACAAAGGAGGTCAAAAGAGTGACTGCTGGTCACCAGTACTCATTTAAGTGCCTGGTAAATGAAGGATTATCTTAACTGTTTCCCTCTTTTTTTACATTATCTAATCAAATGCAATGGCCTTTGTTTATGAACTTGTTTTTATACGTTGTTTTTAGTGTAATGTTTTGTTTTTATGAATGCTAGGCACTCACACCTAGACCTCTTTTTTTAATCTGCTTCAGCAAATGTTCACAGTAATCACAGATATATACAAAAGTATACATGCTGCTGTCAATAAAGGTTCACAGTGTTTTTACCCAATGTGTTGTGATTAATAATAATACTGTAGATAGCAACACAGCTTTGAGAACTACATCGGTTTTTCCTCCATAATTTAAACTTTGTTGAGTTGGTTAAAGAGATACTAAGGATTTTCCCCCCAAAAAAACAAAAATGTAAAGACTCATACAGAAGTAATCCCTCTCAATCATTACCTATGACCAACTAGAGTTGTGTGGTGCTGTATGTATCTGCAGAGACTCTGCCTGGATTTTCTGCCTGGTGAGTTGAGGGCGGGACTTCATAAAATGTTAGCGGCTTACTTTCACTTTGGCTGGTGAGCGTGTTTGCAAACAGTAACCAACAATCCTGCATACTGTACCTTAGATAAATTACATTTTACATGCTTTTTAGTCCAGTTTTCTGTGTCAATGCAGTTGCATGCAGGGACCATTCTTCCAACTTTTCCTTGTTAAAGGGATAGTGCACCCAAAAATGAAAATTCAGCCATTATCTACTCACCCATATGCCGAGGGAGGCTCAGGTGAAGTTTTAGAGTCCTCACAACACTTGTGGAGATCCAAGGGGAGAGTGGGTAGCAGCACAGCTCCACCTAATGGAGACTTACGGCGCCCCATATTAAAACGTCAAAAAACACATAGTTGAAACCACAAAATATCTCCATACTGCTCGTCCGTAGTGATCCAAGTGTCCTTGTGGTTTCAATTATGTGTTTTTGGATGTTTGAATCTGGGGCGCTGTCAGCCTGCATTAGGTGGAGTTGTGCTGCTACCTCCTCTCCCCTGGGATCTCCGCAAGGGATGTGAGGACTCTAAAACTTCACCTGAGCCTCCATCGGCATATGGGTGAGTAGATAATGGCTGAATTTTCATTTTTGGGTGCTCTATCCCTTTAATGTATACAAGAAACTCTACATTAGGTATTCAGGTGCTGAAACACAGTCATTCTTTCACCAAAAAGCTGTGAAAAGGATCATGGGAATCTGCTCTTTTATTGTCATCTACACAACAGTTACAGTGAAGAAGTCTAATTAAAGTCTAGGACATAAAATAGTGCAGCAGCTAAAACAGGAATACAACATAATAACAAGCCAAGTGCACTGTGGTAGCCTGATAAGTAATGGTTAACTAATTGTAATGTTAGTCTCTTTCATTCAAAATGTTGCTACTTGTAAGCCAGCTTAAGAGTTTTCATGACAGCTCCTACTTGCAGCTGCATTACTGCACCAAATAGAGTTTAGTAAAAAATAATAAAGGTGATGAAATGTTCACTCAGCTAGATCACCCACTCTAAACGAGTCTCTGCAAGCTGACTTCCAGGGTTTGTGTAAATAATAGCTGCCTGTAAGTACAATTTTGCTTTCGCTTTCTGAATAGGGTTAGGAATAGTAAAAAAGTAAATAGAGTTTATATGTGATGGGCTGTAATATGTAAAACAACCTGTATCATCCTATAACAGCACCTATAGTCAGCCCATACTGCAATCCAAAACGTTCTCTTATTCACCACTAGAGGGAGGTGTATCTCTTCTGTAGGTCTTCTTAAACCTGATCCTAAAAGCTTGCCAAATATTTTTTCCATATAATTATGTTTAGAGTTGAATACGCTAGCATGGCCTTTTATAGCTGCAAAAGAGGATTCCCATATGAGTTTGTGTTGTCTTAGATTAGTGGCAAAGTGCTCCTTTGATGTGATAAACATAGCATTATATTTGATTTAGATTTGATGCCCACAGGCATCTTCAGTTCACTGCTGATATTTGAGTTTCCCATATCCTCAAAGCCAATTTATTATGCAGTTACAGTTACATAACCCCTTTAAAATGGATGTATTTTTGTCAATCAGTGTTCAATTTTGCATAGTTATTTGGCAAATTGAGTCTTGAAGAGGTTCATAATATTGTGACACCTTTATCCTGAGTGCATATGCACCTTAAGGAGCTCTCATGGTGGTAAAAGCTTGCATATTTAAATGAAAATCTCTCAGTATCTTGCCAACAAATCAAATTCCATAATGTTTGGCATTTGCTTTAACCTGCCTGGAGCACCAGATGGGTGGGCTTACTGCATCATTTCAAACACTACATAAGCAAACTTTAGATAAGTACACTAAAGTGCCTTTTGACAGATTTTACTGTGATAGGCCTTCATCACAGAGGACATGTCTCAATTGGAAAAACACAGGTGTAAATAATAACTTACTGAGAGGCTTTAATAGAGCACAACCATTGTTAATGTTATTAGTCACACCTGTGCTTTTATGTGAGAAGGGTCTATTGTGAAAACCACGCAGGGTTACAGCAGGTATGTGATACTGCAACATGTTGTTCAGTGGCCCAATTACAGACACTCATAGACCTTATTCAGCTTGCCAGCACTGAGAAGTGGTGTTGCAATTATTGAGGAAGCAGTTGTGATGCAGACCAATGTAATTAGTGTGTGATAGGAGTATATATTCCACCATGTTTTAGGGGAAGCAGATACAAAGCACGAGCAAATATAAAATAAGAACCTATACATGTGATTATTAGAGTAATTTGGGACCTTATGTAGAGTTTATTTAAACTACTGTACTCTCATCTGCACTTAAAAACAACTCCTCTGACATAATCCTTTAAGTCTTTCTGCCAGTGCAGATCAATAAAGCGATATTTTGGCATGGACACTCTGGGAAAACATGTCTCGTGCTATGACAGCACAACCTGTGGGGAATAAAAAGTTGGATTCTTTGTTATTTTGGTGCCTCTGCCTGTCCACGGTGACGTTGTCGGTAGCGCAACCATTTTGGTATTTATTCCAATAAGCGCGGCTCATTGACCAATGACAGCGCTACTCAGATAACCCTCAGCCAATCGATAGGCGACGCTGTGACTCACCAAATAAGGAGAGACAGCACCAAATAAGGAAACATTGTATCTCTTTATAAGGAGGGAAGTAGTTCCTGGGTTGTCATATCACTCCGCTGTCGTAAACGCTGTTTAAAAACGAGATATTTTTATGCGTCATGGAGCCGTGATGAGATAAATATCGCGGTATTAATGGAGTAAAAATGAGTATTTGGTCGCCAGCAGGCCGACACGAGGGTTATTTTCGGTTCGCAATGCGGACTACGTGACATGGCGGCTCGACATCCAGGGCGCTCTTCGCGTTTTCCTTTTTGAGAAAGTGCTCAGAGTTTTGGAAATAGAGGAGGAGGGTGAACCAAACTGAGCCGGGGTTGAAGGGTCTTGGGGGTAGCATCACTTTCGAAAGTTTGTCTCGGTAATTTCCTGGAGTCTCCAAACCACCGACCGGTCTGGTTTGTTTACATTGTGTGGCCCAGGCGTGTATGCGTTGTATCAGCCATTTACGAGACAACGCGCTCCAGCTCTGTTGGCTGGTGTTTAGAGACCCGGTTCAGTAAATAGAATGTTACCGAGCCGGGTTGGATCGGCACCATCTGGAAACGGGTCAGCGTCAGGCAGAGGTACCACAGGACACGGTTCGGGGGTTGTCGGGATCCGTCCCGTTTTGGTCAGAGCAGGGCAAGCTTTACCGGGGGTCAGCGAGAGTGCCGGTGCTGCCGGGCGACAGGGGGAAAGAGACGCCGTCGGGATGCTGGGGGCTAATGGTCCAGGGGGTCCGAGAGGCGCGAGACCAGGGAACGGGACTGGTGTGACCCCTCTACAGACCGCCGTCCAGGGCAACATGGTGGTGGGGTTGAACACGGGAGTTGTGTTGCCTCACGGAGCCAGGTTCGACCCGGACAGAGAGGGTGCTCCTCTGTGCAGCGGCTCGGATAATGACTCGGACTCCGGAGATGATGATGACCCAGTGGGTTCACTTGGGGACAGCAGGAGAGGGGTGAAGCGGGAGAGAGGGGAGATGGAGGCTGCGGTGACGGGGCAGGAGGTGGGGATTCCTCCCGGAGGTTACGGCATGGTGCCCGGAGGGGTCGCCGGGGCAAAGCCGGGGAAGAAAACACGTGGGCGCGTAAAGATAAAGATGGAATTTATTGACAACAAGTTGAGACGGTACACCACTTTCAGCAAGAGGAAGACTGGTATTATGAAAAAGGTGAGTCAGGCGACTGCCTTTGGATCTCATCCAACCACAGTAACATTTGAGTGTCACTTGAGTGTTGTTTGGCCTGTAGCCTACTGCAGTAGGCCTGTAATATATGGTGCTGGGAAATCATTCATTCATGGAATAAACAGTGAGGTTAAGGTTACACCAATCATCACACCAGTGTGTAACGTGATAGTGGGCCTACATCATAGTTTGAGGCTTATGACCTGTTGTAAATCAGACCATTTTCTTTCTTACAAAAGACAAAAACAATTGTGGCACAAACTGACTCACTGGATGTGAGGGAGTCAGAACATTAATGACAGGCAATTGGCTTTAAATAGACTTGAGCAAATGACAATTCTATTTATGACCATGCATGCCCACCCCAACCATCACACACACACACACACACACACACACACACACACACACACACACACACAGAGTCTGACACACACAGATCTCCAGATACACTGTCACTCTCATTCATGCACTCATACACAGACAGGCCCAGAACTGTTGGAAGTAGTTCCCCATCAGTAGCCCTCAGTGCACAGGCTGTTCCCTCTGTCACTGTGAAGCAGGGCTTTGCTTGCAGGCAGCAGCCATGCGGTGGTGAGCAGCAGCGGGCCTGTAGGTGCCAACAGCTGACTAAACCCCAGGGAAACGAGATCAGAGGACAGTCAAAGAGCACTCAAACAGAAGACAGGAGCCGGGGACTGTCTGTGCATGCATTATGGCGCTGTACGGTTTGACACAAGCATCCAGCCTCATCCAGTGACTTGTGTTGGTTTCAGTTTTAAGAGTTGAATCTGGCACACAAGCAGTTGACATTAAAGAAGGCAGAAGCTGCTCGGTGTTAGTCATAATTGCCTCCATTACTGTCTGCTAAGTTCAGTGCCAGTATTTCACTGGAAATCCACAACTCAAGCACGCCATTGCTGCTATGATAAAGTATTGCTATTTGGCATCAGAGTTGATTATCTGGGGACGAGGTCAGCTGTTGACCAGAAGCACAGCAGCAGTTGTTTTGCTGTAGACATGGCCATTTTTCATTATAACTTTAAACAAACACAATGCTTTATTGTAGTGCAGGAGTTTTCATTCGTGCCTGTGTTACTTTGAAGAGCCTGTACTGTGTACTCTGCTGTATTTCTCTTTTTTTATGTATCCCAGACTGTTGTCGTGGAAACTGAGGTGTCTTTATGTAGGCTCTTGGCAACATGAACACTATTTGACACACTGTGCGGATAGAGATTTTTTGGAAATGTTGCCTACACTATGTCAACCATCACAGAAATTGAGTGGTGGGTGGAGTGGGAAGATTCATAGTAGACTGGTCTCAAACTGGTTTCTAGGATGAGCCTTGCTTATTTTTTTTTTTTTTTTTTTTTTTTTTTTGAAGGATGTGGTGAGTGAAGCATAGGCCTAGTTGTGTTCTTCTCAGATATGCTTTTGATTACGTGCATGTAAATACTTGCGCAACACAGATTGTTACCTCATTTTGAGGCGTGGCATTACTCAATTAATTGTGATTCCTGTTTTGGTTCCATCATTTGACCAGTAAAAGTTATGTTTTCATGTTTGCTCTTTTTGCATCTATGCTCTAAAGGTTGCTTTCATGGCAGACATTTTGACTTGTTAAAACCACAGATGTGACTAGTAACATACATTTTGGCTCCATTCCATTTACGTGGCCCAGTGCACCATGCAAGTGAGCCAACATGCACAAAACTGGGTATCTGAAACTGGCTTGCCTACATGGAATACAGCCATCATTAATGTTATTATTGACACCTGAGCTTTCCCCTCTATGATGTATCTAGTGCTGATTGTTTAAGAGGAAATGATTCAGTAAAAAATACTGACAATTAATTAATGAATTGTCAAAAATTCACTGGTTTCAGCTCTTTAATGTAAAGATTTGCTGCTTTTTACTGTTTTATATTATATTGAATTGAGTAGTTTGGGATTTTGAAGACACTTGGACTCCAGGTACTTTCAGTTGACATTTTTAAAAATCATTACATATGCTTTTATGTGCTCTGTTCCTCTCACTTGGAATAGTCTTTAAAATTTTTGAAACTATGTGAATTGGTCTCTCTTCCTGATTTTAAAGCTCTCATAAGTATAAGGGTGAATGATTCGGTTGGTTCTTGTCATTGTGCGTAGGTGTTGTAATATTTCTACATGTTACTGTATATCTTTTATGCTTTTTATGTGGTTGTTGCTTGGCTGTAACTTTTTCTTATGCTGCTGTCTTGGCCAGGTCTCAGCAGGACTTACCTGTTTAAAAATGTGTTAAATTAAAATTACTTAATGATCAATTGAAAAAATGAAGGATTAATCCATAATGAAAGTCATCATTTGTTGTACGCCATCGCCTTTTTTTTCTGAGCCTAAGGTGAAATCTCAAATAGCTTGTCTAAAATTCAGATTTATTCAATTTAAAGAGATTAAGAAAAAAGAAAAAAAAAACAGAAACACACCAAATCCTTACATTTGAGAAGTTGGATAACGGGCTCCAATGTTAAATATCTTTTTAAAAAGTTTATTAATTTTCTGTCATTTAACTCAACTAATTGTTTAAACACTACGGGTGTAACAGTACATTGATCTGGATCGATATATCAATTCAATGAACAACAATCCAATATTATCCATGCAAAGTAAAAACATCAATACATGTCGTCATCATCTTTAAGATACACCTTTACTTTGAAATTCCCATGGTGCATCTGTGTCAACATTTCTGACCTGTCCTAAACATTCAAACAGTGCTAGCAGCCTAGCGCCATTCATTGAATTGAATTGAAATCATGTCATGGCAGACTTATTAATATCAGCAAATATCATATTGCTGTCTAAAGAAACAATAGAATATCACATCGAGAAGAAACATGGGATTTACAACCCTATGAAGCACTGCCCACAGCGCCTGCACGCTTTTTTGTAAAGCCACAATTTTTGGCTTTGCAGCGCTACAACAGAAGTTGTGGAGGGGAGTCCAGGGATTTAAATTGGCAGCTGTATAGTCACAAGGCCACCTTTGGGACTCGTGTTCTAACTGCCAAGATAACACCTGAAAAAATGTTGTTTTTTTTCTGTTGTTTTGAATTGCACAAACATGTTTGCGTCCATACTATCTTACTCTGTCTTCATTTGATATATAGGCTTGACAAAGAAGTTTTTTGAGACAGAGGAACCAATTACAGACAGAGTTGACCCCCCCCCCCCCCCCCACTCTGCAGTCATGAATATTTATGAGAAAATCAGCAGAGCAAGGAAACTTATTAAAGCATTGTGTGGATCTAGTTTGTGCTACCACCCAGCACTCGTAAGGTGACAAATTAGTCCCTTTTCTGCCTTGGATGTTGGCCAAACATCAGACCCTGTTGTTAGAGACCCCTCTATAGCTGCTGCAGAGCCAATCAAGGAAGGTGGTAGTGAAAGAGGACGACTGGAGCTGTATAGTTCATTACCTGTTGTAATACTGCATTAGCAGGCGCTGAGGTGAATTGTACAACCAGAGATCCCTTTTAACACTGTTCTCCAACACACTCGCACACCAAAAAAACCTCTATATAATTAAGGTTTGAAGTGCTCAGGTGAAACGAGCGTGGTGTAGCATTGAGCCACTACAGCAGTAGCTGGTCATCATTAGCCTGTCTGTGCTCTGCTGTCATATCGTTGCACACAAAAGACAATTATACAATCAGCTACAGCATGTGCCCACATATAGAGGACCGGACTGATAGAGCCCATAATGAACACAGTGTTCGAGCACGATGGAGCACACCCGTATGAATGCATGGTTTTGTAACAGCTCAATAAAATCTTTTAATTTGAATGTGATTCGTCTCCTCCTCTTGTGCTCCAGCTTACAATGGCACATCTATCAGCCACCTCCGACTGTACTGTGTTCACCAAGGTGATGGTAATGGTGCTGTGCCTTCACAGCACCAGAAGCATCCTCCACATAACTTATGACTCATTTAGATAGAAAGGCTTTCTCAGGAGTTCACCCTGAGTGCAGCAGCATCGGCGTGCGTTTGCTCATGTTTGTGTGTACGATAGAGTCGAATGTCATTGTGCTTTACCTTTACACTATGTGAGTGTGTGTGCATGCTGTATAATGAATGATGAGGCAGCCGACTGTGATGCTGGCCTCACGTTTCACAGTCAGCTACCTCTGGGTGTTAAGAATGATTCCTTGTGTCCTCCGTCAAGACCGGGTTACTACAACTCTCCCAGTGTATGCAAGCCAGTCCCCTGCTGCAATCAGTCTCTCAGCTATATCACACTCTCTATTCTGGGAACCTTATCTCATGTTATTTTAGCTTCATTTGTGCTATACGTCAGGGTTCACTACAGGCGTATTTTTAGATCTAGTGTTTTCTCGGCTAGGTTTTTTTCTTGTCTTCTAGAGGTTCATCTTATGAGATGAAGGTAGTCCAAGCCCCTATTTGGTGAACCATATCTTTCTGATGTTTAAATTCTAGTCTGTCACATCCTTAAATTTTGTTCTTTCTCTCTCCCAGGCCTATGAACTCTCCACCCTGACGGGAACCCAGGTTCTGCTTCTTGTGGCCAGTGAAACGGGACACGTCTATACTTTTGCCACTCGCAAACTCCAACCCATGATCACAAGTGAAACGGGCAAAGCCCTGATCCAAACATGCCTCAACTCGCCGGACTCGCCACCCCGCTCTGACCCCTCTACGGACCAGCGCATGAGTGCTACGGGCTTTGAGGAGACAGACCTCACCTACCAGGTGTCTGAGTCGGAGAGCATGGGCGACACAAAGGTTAGAATCAAAAGGTGGAAAGGTCTGCTGTTGGGGACAGGTCCTACAGGCAGTCAGGACAGAAATTACAGATTAAGAGTGTAAGATTTAGGGGGATTTAAAGCTGAAACCTCTCCTGGCAAGAATTTCTTAAGTGTTCATTGTTCAGGAGGTTTGTAGTGGGAGGTCTTTTCCTCTCCAGTTCTCCAATACAAACAGACCAGGTAATAAAATCTGGTTAAAACAGTGAGTAAAGCAGTTTCATGTTGCAAATCAGTGTTTCTCCAACGCTGTTTGGCATGTCGGAGACGGGCAGCTCACCCACTACATGCTAATGTTTGTTCACCATTATTCTCAAATAGCTTAAGTTTTCACTGGGAGCCGAATTATTGCCTGATTATCATTAAGGTCTCTTCCTTGCTAATGCAAAGACACACGGTGATAAACAGGTACAAACACTGAATAAAGCAGTTTCACATTACAAGTAAGTTTTTTCCTGGCGTTGCTTGTTGCAAATGGGCCTTTAACTACGATGGCTGAAGCAAAGAGACAAATGGGTCTTTCTGGAGCCAGTGTTTGGTTTGTCTGTCATAGACTACTCTAGAAACGTGGCGGTGCAACATGTAGATATCCATAAACAAGGACCTGCTCCCTATGTAGATATAAATGGCTCATTCAAAGGCAACAAAAACACAGCGATTCCTATTTTCAGGTGATTATACAAGAAAGAAAACACACTTATTATATTATATTCCATTTCTGCCAGTATATCCCTATAAATCCTGGACCTTTAAGAATACACTCCATCTCTTCTGGGATGATTGTAGGGAAGCTGCAGCAGTGAATCCCCAAAATTGAATGTGCTCATTTCTGTACCTGTCCCCACAGCCCATTTCCCCTGCTTTCAGCAACAATGGCACTCGAGTTAAAGTCTATGTGACTCACTGTCTGCTTTACAGCGGAGACATGAATTGCAGTGCAAATATAAAAAAAAACAAACTGATAAAGCACCATAGAGAGTCACTAATGGATATAGTGGGAAATCTCTCCAGAAAAGGCTAGACCAGCACACGAGCAGAGCAAATAAATCAAACCCACAAGCAGCTGTGGAAAATAATCTTTGTCCTATTGTAAACACTGTTTCAAACTTTTGCCTGTGATATGCGTGACCTCTGTTTTGGGCTCGTGGTTTGGTTCTGAGCACCAAGTCATATTTTTAATTAAACCAAAAAGTCTCAGCAGTCCTTCAAAGCACTCTAAAGCGAAGGGAGAGCCAGATAAGATGTGGAGTATTATCCCACTCACTAAAGGGAGCTGTCTACACTTTACCTTTCTGACCCCTCATCCAGGAAAGCCTCGTAACACTCTGAGAGATAAATCACAGCAGGTCTGGGTTGTGTTAGGATGAGAAACATGCAGCCGGCTACATGGAAGACTTTGGTGTTTATCTTTGATTTTGGGATGGGGCTGTCTTGTGTTCATGCATGAAACACTGAGACTGTTCAAGAGAACTTACATTTCTGAAAATATTGGAGTATCACAAGTTTTGTGCAGTTTTCAAACTCGCTAACGTAAAAATTGGCATGACAGAAATGAGTTAGTTGGCTGTGTGACCTCGTCATATTCTTAATGACAAGCTGCAGTGTGCGTCCCTGTATTTTCTACCACATTACTGCAAGGTTTCTTAAACCCCAGGTCTTTGAGATGTAGAAGTGAAGCGGTAAATTCATCAGCAGACGCGCTTCGCTATCCACACCTTTTGTGCACTCACGTGCTGGAAGCAGAGATTCCCTCTACTGTTTACATTGCTTAAGTACGCCCCTTTGAAGACGGACACTTCCAGGCCTGTTTGCCTGCGTGCTGTTTTTACAAGGCACTAACTAACACGTACCATACACCGTCAAGGATGGGAGATCAACCTTTGCATGTTAAGCCACTCTTATGCCCGCTCTGCTCATTGATAAAAATTAGATTCTGCCTCTGTTGCCATATATGGTATGGTTTCCCTGCCTGCTCTCTTGGCTGAGGCCCCTCACATTCCTTATAAGCTGCAGCTGTCTTTAGAGTCCTGTGATTCCCCCCCCCCACCTCTACCCCCCCACTCATTTAGTGATATGGAGGGGAGGTAAGGATGTAGATATGAGCGGGTGGAATGGAAACATTTGAGCGATACATTACATCCCATTTTATATGATGTCCATTTACGTGGTTTACAGTGACGCTGTGACCTCTGCCCCCCCACTGCGATTATGACTGTGGGAGACCAGCATGGGCCCTGTGAACACTGCTCACAGACGGAAACACTAGAAATTGTCATTATGTGATACATGTCAGGATCGCTATCATTATGGTTAAGGTGGCAGGTGGATACTGAGGCCTCCATTTCGAGGGATCATTTCTGTGCAGTAGGTCTGATGCGTAGTGACTGTGTGCACCTCTGCAGCATCTGGACACTATTCATCAAGAGAGTAGTATGTCATACATACAGTCCAAGCTAGTCTAAACAGTTCAGTGTTTGCAATGGCTGATGGGGGATGTGGAGGACATTTTGGAGGAGCAACAGAAAGAGGCTTAGGAGATAAGTGAGGTAGACATAATTTGGTGCTGTAAGCAGTGCTCATAAAATCATGTGACTGCAGAAATTCTAGTGCTAAATATTTGTTTCCTATTTACTCCTGTTGGATTACATTTGAAAATACAAACAGCAATTGGTGATATCACCCTGCTTTCAGTTTGTAATTTAGTTGTGCACCTTTTTTCTTATTGTCATACATAATGAGCCCAAGGACCGCTGACAAGTGGAGTTTGATTGATGTTTTTCAGTGGTTAAAAATGCTATTGTTAGAGATCCATCAATCCAGGATGTTCTCTCATGATAGCTGATTACTATACATACTACGATTAGTATGATTCCTAAACACAGGGTGACTCCCAACACCCAGTATTATGCTATACCTAGCATATAGTGGAAAATGATGCAATACTCTATTTCAGGAATTGCTGTGGCACTGAAATTGAGTCAGAAGCCCGCCATGAGTGAATGAATGTAAACGGCTTTTTACTTTTGGTGCAAGTCCAACAAAATGAAAGCCTCACAGCCATCCCACAATGTTCACCATGTAACAACACGGATCAGTTAGCTCAAGAGGAGTAATTTTACACTGGGTGTCCAATAAAGGATCAGCAGTTTCCTTCTGAATTTCAGTGTGGAAAAATATAACGTGTGTTCTGGAAATGTTATCAATTTTCTCCTGAATGACTCACCAAAATTACTCTCTAAAAGAAAATTTAAAAGAATATTTTACCCACAAAATTCATTTATAAATCAGTCCCTCCAGGATCTTGCAGCAAAAAAAACTTGAATTTGTGGCCCAAAGCCCTCGAATTTGCAGCCAATTTTGTCAAAAATTGCAATAAAAATTGCAGCATTTTTATGTGATTTTTTTTTTTTTTTTTTTTTTTTAGGAGGGCAAAATGACAAAAATTGCAGCTAATGACAAAAAGACATTTTTTAAAGACAATTAATCACTTGCTATAATAACCATACTGAATTTTACAAAAATCGCTGCAAACATTTTTTATAGTTCTCCTCTTTAGTTTTATTTAATTAGTTTCAAAACATGGACTCCAATAATGTTGCAAAATCCTGAGTGAATATTGTAGCTCTCAATCCAGACAATGTGACTGTAAAACAACATGTAAGCTACATCTTCTGTAAACATAACATTTTAATACATTCAACACATATTGTATGCATTTAAACAGTGCAAATTCTTATGTCAATACAGAGCGTTTCTCCATACTGCAATGCCATTAGCGCGATTTGATGACATTTCAAATGACGTTGTATGCACAACGACTTCTGGTCAGCCGGGAAATGTGGAAAAACGCAGAAAAATCACGAAACTTTTGAAAAAATTGCAAGCCCCCGTAAATATTGCGGACTTTCGTTGAATTTGCGTTACTTACTCTGATCGCAAGAACGCGATTTTCTGGAGGGACTGATTAATTACTCTCCCAGTTTACATTGACTTTAAAACACTTCTGCATAAGCAGTCTCACGCATGGACGAGGAGCACACCTGCGAGTTCAAATGCATGCGCTTGCCCAGGCTACTACTCCAGTGTGTTTGAGAAGTACTGAGCATACAACTGGATAAATAAGACATGGATTATCCTGCACGACTTGTGTGAGAGTTTGCAAACAAATGTTATGATATAGTTTTGCTGTGTTTAAACAGTTATTCAAGAATTTTCTCGGTTCACCATGGAGACATCCAAGAAAAAAACGTTTTTCTTCTTGAATTCAGTTTAGCACAGGGTGAGTCATTAACAAACAAATGGTCATTTTGTAACTGAAGTACTCCTTTAAGGCATGTAATAGGCCATGCAGTTTCAGAGTCATGCTCCGCATCACCCTACAACTTCTCGTTTTTACAGCTGATAGTTTTGTGTGATTGCTTGTTAAAGTTTCAAACTTTGAAAAGGCTGTGAGTCACATTATCATCATCTCATCATCTGCTGATCGGTCTGAAGCATGTCTAGCTAGGCTCAATTGATTTTTTTGGTTGGTGTCACCAGACCTAAATCTGTTTTTTAAAACCAAGCTTGCAAAATGTAATCTAGCAGTAAGAGATGTCAGAACGAAGAGTGTGGGCTTCTTTCTGAAAACATAATTTGGCACCTACTTTAAACAGTCACACAGAGAACAATCAGTGTATTGGTGTTAAGATAATAAAACATTAAGTTTAAGACACGTGACTGGAAAACCCTGGCTTTTCTATTGTTATTGCTCACGCAGCACACATTAAGTACGTAAAACCAAATGCTGAAGGCAACACGTGCAGCACTGTTCTCTTAGGGCTGTAGAAAAGCATTCTGGGAATTGTAATGTCTGACATAAGGGTGAATGAGGAAGGTCAGGGGAGAAGTGGTTACACCAGTAATGAAACACCAATACTTCCCAATTAGGGTACATTAGTAATTATTGTGGTCTCCCCCAGCAGATCTTTGGATTGTTAT